TGTGGGATGTGGGGCTTGAACTCTGGGCCTGGGTGCTGTCCCTCAGCTCTTCAGCTCAAGGTGAGCGCTCTACCACTTGAGCTACAGCATCCCTTGCGATTTTCTAGTGGTTTATTGGAGATAAGAGTCTCATGGACTTTCCTGCCCAGGCTGGCTTTGAACTGTGATCCTCAGACCTCAGCTTCCTGATCGCTAGGATGACAGGTGTGAGCCACCAATGCCCAGCTTAATTCCTTTCTTATTTTGGTCGGTCTTGGGACTTGAACTCTGGGCCTGAGCGCTGTCCCTCAGCTCTTCAGCTCAAGGCTAGCGCTCTACCACTTGAGCCACAGCACCACTTCCGGTTTTCTGGTGGTTCCTTGGAGATAAGAGTCTCAATGCCTTTCTTGCCTGGGCTTGCTTTGAACCGTAATCCTCAGATCTCAGCCTCCTGAGTAGCTAGGATGACAGGTGTGAGCCACCAGAGCCTGGCTAATTCTTTTTGTTTTTACCTGAACTTTAGAGTAGTTTTGCCAGCCTTTTAGAGAGCCTTGTTAGTACCTGTTTGGCATCCAGTTGTATCTACAGATAACCCCGAGACTGTGCCTGCTGTGTAGTGACTGTCCTGTGGTGGCTGCCTCCTGCCTAGCACAAGGTCCCCGCTGATGGAGGTGGCGCCTTATACTGTGGGCACAGGGCTATCCTCAGTCCTGTCTTCTGTACTTCCTTTGACTCTGTCACTCCTGCATTTACAGTTGTTTCCACTGTGTCCCTGTGACTGGCTCTGCATGCTCAGCTCCCTCATCAGGCTGAGGTTTTGTGCATGTGCCCCTCACCATAGAAAGAAGCCCAGTGTTCTGCTTAGATTTTGTCACAAATGTGATGGTTGCCTAAGGCCACTGCCTGCAGGACAGGAGGCTCATTCTGGCTTATACTTGAACGTGTGCCCACCTGAAGATCAGGCTTCCGTGGCAGGTTCATAGAGTGACAGGCAAGCCAGATGCTGGGCTTGCTGTCAGTTGTAAGCTATCACTCTCGTGGGCAAGTCATGGACAAGTGAGTGGAAATGTGGATGATACCCCCTGGCGACTGGTTAGACAAGGGCTCCAGGGCCTCACGGGAATGATCCCTTCACTCCAGGCGCCTGTAGTCCAGCAGGAAATCACTGTGCAAGCATAACATGTCTTAATGGCTGGTTGTGGAATATGAGCACCATCCACACAGTCAGGCACACCTTCCTACCATGGGGAGGTGCTAAGCGATGGTGCTCTGCTGGGACTTGAACGTTAGGAACACATAGGTAGACATGGACTACTTTTGGCTCCAGCTTGCAGCCACATCTGTTGGCGAGGCAAGGAGAGGGGCTTCTTTGCATGGCCTGCATCTCTTCCCTGCATGAGTGCTGGTCTCTGCTTTGTACTGCATGCAGTGAAAGGCTACCTGAGTTTTCTCTACAGGCTCCACTAATCTGTCTTTCTGTTTCCAGGTGCTGGTAAGACCCCAACCCTAGGCGGTGGCTTCCATGTGAACTTGGGGAAGGAGTCAAGAGCACAGACACTGCAAAACGGTATTACCCACTAGGGACAGAGCTGACCCTGCAGTGGGGCCAGGAGTTGGGGTTGCGCTGCTAAGGGTGAGGTCAGACCAGGCCTCATCTACCGCTTCTGCCCCATCTCATCCCAGCCTTACTTCCTGTTTTTTTCACATCCTGCTTGCTGTGAAGCCCGTGGCTAGTCAAACTCCTGAAGGAGTTGCTTCTTGAGCCCCTTCCATCATCAGTGCCCTGGCGTCCTGCAGGTTCTACTACCATCACCAGAGGAGGTCCCTGCACCCTCCCATGGCCCACATTGTTCCTGATGTCTGTGGACATGAGTATGGGATCAATAAGTTTATAGCAATTTGACATGACAGTAATGTTTTTATTGTTTCCCTTTGTGAATGAATTCCAATCAAAAAAGTTTTTTTGATTAGTTTTGGGCTTGAACTCTGGACCTGGGCACTGTCCCTCAGCTCTTCATCTCAAGGCTAGTGCTCTACTACTTGAGCCACAGCACCACTTCTGGCTTTTTCTGTTTATGTGGTGCTGAGTAATCAGACCCAGGGCCTCATACATGTGAGGCAAGCACTCTACCACTGAGCCACCTTCCTGACTAGAAGTATGTGTTCATAAGGGTGTTCAGGGATACAGCAAGGTGGGCTCTATCTGCGTGGTTCATCTCCAACCTGGCAGACCACATACCCTAGGTGTGGTACTGCCTTTGGGCAGTGGTTATAGTTAGTGAGGCTTGTGTTTGTGAGTAGCTAGCTAGTCCACAAGTCCTTATCAAAGAAACCAGGAAACCATACTTAATACACTTAATATTTTGTGACATGGATCTGCTAGGCACCACAGGAGTGAGTCTGGAATCCAAAGAGCTCTGGTAGTACTAGAAAGTCCACAGTTGCCTTTCTTGGCATTCTAATGTTGACCCTGTCATAGATTTCTCTTAGACCCTAGGGTCTTCTGTCTGGAGAAGGCTTTTCTGCCCATGTAGTGGATATAGATGTGAGGCCTGTGCAGAATGCCAATACTGCTGGTGTCAGCAGCTCTCCACCTAAGTCCCTCTACTGCGGGCTCTGGCTGGTTCTGCCCTGCATTTCGATCTGAGTGCAAGAGGCCTTGCTAGGGGCAGTGCCTTTCTCCCTCTCCGTATGCTGTCTCTTGGACTGAAGGTCTTGCTCCTTCAAGAAGGGGTATGTACACAGACGGGGCCATTCCAGCTATCTGACTGGCTTGCAGTTTCTACACGGTTTGTTACCTTCAAGTTCACCTGGGGTTGTGTATATCCTTCTTGTTGTGCCCTTCCTTTGCAGGTGTACACAGAGTGGCTCATTAGGCTTTTTCTTTCTTTAGGTAAGGCCATTGCCTCTTGGAGGTTAGCTAGCCTGACAGCTGTTCAAGGCTAGACTGGACAGAGGGCCCGACTGGGAGGGTAGGGTGGCCTGGCCTGGCTGGCCCCTGTGCTGTGGGGAAGCAGTTCTACCTAGGCTTATAGCTTTGGGAGAAGGAGCATTTCTATCACAGTAATGGAAAACCACAAAATAGCACCAGGCCAACCAGCCCGAACAGATTTCTGTCAGATACCCAGTCTTCATTAGTCCCTGACAAAGGAACACTCAGCCACTTAACAGATTCGTTTTGAAGCATGATATGGGAGGGATAAGATTTCATAGCATGTGAAAACTTTAAGAAATCCATGATTCAGCCGGGGGCCAGAGGTGCATGCCATAGTCCTAGCTACTCAGGCAGCTGAGATCTGAGGATTGCTGTTCGAAGCCAACCCAGGTAGAAAAGTCTATGAGGCTTTTTTTTGGCCAGTTATGGGACTTGAACTCTGGGCCTGGGTGCTATCCCTCAGCTTTTCAGCTCAAGGGAGCAAGCGCCCTACCACTTGAACCACAGCACCACTTCTGGTTCTCTTAGTGGTTTATTGGAGATAGGAGTCTCATGGACTTTCCTGCCTGGGCTGGCTTTGAACTGGGATCCTCAGATCTCAACCTCCTGAGTAGCTAGTATTACAGGAGTGAGCCACTGATGCCCGGCTCCAGGAGACTCTTATCTCCAATAACTAATAAAAAGCTAGAAAGTAGAGCTGTAGTAGAGTAGTAGAGCATTAGCCTGAACAAAAAAGCTCAAGGACCGCAACTAGGTCCTGATTTCAAGCCTCAAGACTAGCATCAAAAAGGGAAAGGAAGGAAGGAAGGTATCAATCAATCAATCCATGTTTCAGCAGCCATTAAAAAAATTGATTGAGCCAGTGGCTTACACCTGTAATCCTAGCTATTCAGGAGGCTGAGATTTGAGGATTGCAGTTCAAAGCCAGCCTAGGCATGAAAGTCCATAAGACTCTTATCTCCAATTAACCACCAGAAAACTGGAAGTGGCACTGTGGCTCAAGTGGTAGAGTGCTCAACTTGAGCTAAAGAGCTGAGGGACAGTGCCCAGATCTAGAGTTCAAGTTCACGACTGACAGTTGTTGTTTTTTTATGGAATTTATTCACAAAGTGAATTTAGAAATGTAAGAGACAAAGGTAAATTTGTATTCTTAAATTACTATAGTAGTCCTTTGATTCTTATGCTTTTAATTGAATACTGCAATTGAGCGGCAATGTTTGGATAAAGTTATCCATTTATGTCCTAGGGCGACGCCACATCCACCACCTGGGGAGCCAGCTGCAACTGAACCAGCACTGTCTGGACACAGCCTTCAACTTCTTCAAGATGGCTGTGAGCAAGCATCTGACCCGAGGCCGGAAGATGGCGCACGTGGTTGCCGCCTGCCTCTACCTGGTCTGCCGCACAGAAGGCACACCGCGTATCCTTGCTTTGGTGTTCCCTTGAGGCCCTCCTTAGTGTGGATTCGGCAGCTTTACTTAGCAACAGACACCATATTAGATATGTGGTCTGATGAGTGCAGGGCTTCCTTCCCCACAGCCTGGAGTTGGAGAGCATTAACTGTATTGGCCTCTAGATACCAGGCTCAGGACTTTCTTCTTCCTCATGGACTGACTTGAACTTGGGCACTGTTTTTGGTGTTGTGTGGTTTGAGGAGTTGAAATACTGCTGCTGATTTTGGTGTACTCAGGCTGGGCTCCATGTCCTTGTGGCTTTGGATGATATAAAAGGAGGGAATACCTTACGGTGTCTGGCCTCCCGTCCTGTCCCTTTGCCTTCTTGAGGGGACAGGCACATAAGGATATGTGAGCATATCCTTTGCTGAGCATCTAGTCATGAGCTCTATAGGTACATGAGCACCTTTTCTGGTCCTTTCCAACCTGTTCATCTTCTGTTGTCCGCTATCCAGGCCTGTCATGCATGGGCTGTTTGGTCTGAGTCTCCCTGGTTCACTCTTACTTTGTGGGGCATCTTCTTTGAAAGTTCTTTAGAAAGAGACCTGCTTCAACCTTTGTACATCTAAAAATGCAGCGTTGTCCCAGCTCCTTGCTCCCAGGTGCTTGGTTCAGGGTTGGGCTCTCTGAGCCTGAGCTCTTCATGTGGGACTGTACTGCTGCTTGGTTTTTTTTTTTTTTTTTTTTTGGTCGGTTGTGGGGCCTGAACTCTGGGCGCTGTCCCTCAGCTCTTCAGCTCAGACTAGTGCTCTACCATTTAAGCCACAGCACCACTTGCGGCTTTTTCTGCGTATGTAGTGCTGAGGAATCGAACCCAGGGCAAGGCAAGAAGTCTACCACTGAGCCATCTTCCTAGCCCCCGTACTGCTGCTTTGAAGGCCTGGGGCATCTTCTCTTCAGTGGGCTCTCCTTGCCCTGCTTCTTACCTTGAACTTGTATTGGATCCCATGATTCCTGCCTGGGTTTTCCTTTAGTCACTCTGCGTGCCTACTAAGGGCCTTGGGAGGTCTTTGCTTCCTTTACTTCCGTGTTGGCTTTGGGTAGTTCCTAGATGTTTCTTCCCAACAGAGAAGAAATTTTTGCTTTCATGAAATGTTTTTGTTTTGTTTTGTTTTTTACTTCAAAGAACTCTTTATGTGCTTGGAATAGTTCTCCTTTTCTCACTCTTCATGGGTATGTCATTTTCTTACCTTGTAGGACGTGGTGTTTGAGCTCTCATCCCTTGAGTCTCTGCTTTTCTCAGTTGCTCTGTCCAGGGGTCTGTGTGACATGTGACCGTGAGTTGTTGTGGTGTGCTGGAAGTGTGGTGTGTATCTCTTCCCATGTTTGACTCACACTGCTTGTAGAATACCTGGTCTTCTGGGAGTCCTTCCTTTAAGATGGGGCGCACCCTCAACCCCCTTCCCACTTGTCTTGCCAACTCCCAACCACTCTGATACTTAACCTCTGTTGGTGGGACATGGAAAGTCCTGGGCTGTGAGTCACAATGTGGTGATGAGGACGGGACGTGTGGCCCTGCCCCAGAGAGGCATCTCCGGATTCTTCTTGTACCCAGTTCAGTCCAGGAAGCCCTTGTTCAGAAGATTAAGGGTGGGCTGGGAATGTGGTTTAGTGATACAGTGCTTGCCTAGTATGCATGAAGCCTGCCCTAGGTTCTGTTCCACAGTATCACATAAACAGAAAAGGCCCAAGTGGCTCTGTGGCTCAAGTGGTAAGAGCGCTAGCCTTTAGCAAAAGAAGCTCTGGGACAGTGCTCACACCCTGAGTTTAAGCCCCAGGACTGGCAAAAAAAAAAAAAAAGATTAAGGACAAGCTCATTTCTTTCTTCCCCTCCTCTCTACCTGTCATTACCATCAAAGTGTGTCTAGCACAGTCCTAAGAGGACCATTCACAGTACTAGGGCTCTACCCCTTCCAATCTCTATCACTCTCCTAGAAAAGCTGAGTTCCACCAGACGTTACCCTAGAGAAAATCTGCTCTTGCTAGGTGGGCCACGGGTGGGGCAGAGGTTGGCAAGGCTAAGAACGATCAGCTATCTAGGGCCTTTCTTTGTGCTCAAGCACTTACCTGAACTCTCATCCATTTTAGGTTTCCCATTGTTGCTGGATGACAGGCCAGTCTACCCTGTACAGCTTCTCTGGGTTGTGATGGAATCTTCTGGACTTTCAGCTTAGAGTGGCTGAGAGCCATGAGTCTCTCATTCACAACTCCTATGTATTTTAGAATGAAAGGTGCATGCCACTGCCAGCTATGATTTGAGAAGGAGTCTGGCAAACTTTTCTGCCTGGGCTAGGATAGACCTTCACTTCTATGTTCAGTCTTCCAAGTAGCTAGGATTATATCAACACCTAATTGTATTTTGCCTTTTTTGACAAGGACTGGGCAGGCTATGTTATGGCGTGGTGACTATGATAGATCGTCCTCTTGCCAGGAGATTCCCCGGCTCGCCCTGCCTGGGGAAGAAACACTGCCCACTTCTTCAAGGATAGTGGATTTAAATTTTCTTTTTTTGTCCGAATGGGCTTGAACTTAGGACCTAGGTACTATCCCTGTGCTCTTGCTCAAGACTAGCACTCTATTACTTTGAGCCATAGTGCCACTCCCAGTTTTCAGTTAATTGGAGATAAGCGTCTCATGGACTTTTTTTCCTGGGCTGGCTTTGAACTGTGGTTCTCAGGTCTCAGCCTCCTGAGAAGCTAGGATTACAGGTGTGAGCCACCAATGCCCAGCTAGATTTTAACTTTTTGAGTGGATAGATGCTCAAATGTCCAATAGCCATCATCAGACATAAAGAAGTTGCCTTGTCATACCTCCGAAAGACTAACATGTAAAGGGCTGTCTGTACTCAGTATTGGATCCCAGGCCTGCAGACCAGCAGGCCTACTTGTGCCCACCCTGTGGTCAGCAGTTTGGCTATGCTCAGCCTTTAGAGCTGAGCATTTCAACAGTAGTGAACTGGATACAGCATCATGTCCATCATCTGGGCAAACAGATGCCCCAGGGTTCTTTGTTTGTCCTGGGAAAATTACCCTTGCACTCTTGGCTGCTTTTCTAGCTCATCAGTAGCATTTTTTTTGGGGGGGGTCCGGTCGTGGGCCTGAACTCTGGGCCTGGGCGCTGTCCCTCGGCTCTTCAGCTCAAGGCTAGCACACTACCACTTGAGCCATAGCACCACTTCGGCTTTTTTTTTCTGCTTATGTGGTGCTGAGGAATCGAACCCAGGGCCTCATGCATGCAAGGCAAGCACTCTACCACTGAGCCACCTTCCTGACTAGAAGTATGTGTTCATAAGGGTGTTCAGGGATACAGCAAGGTGGGCTCTATCTGCGTGG